ATACCAGTAGTCTGAGCTAATTTAATTCCCAACAAGGAATGAGATGTTTGCAAATTCAAAGTGAGAGCAGTGGAAAGTGGAATACTTTACTTGTTGGAAGTTCAAAGTTAAGCACCCTTTATTAAAAAAAGTTTAATCTTATCATGAACAAAAAACTTTTGGTGTCAACTGATGACTTATAGATTGTGTTAAAGGTGCTTATATTTGTACCAATAAAGCCTTAATGTACCACTTAACAAAAAGGCTACCTTGTAGATGGCTAAAAAACTGTTTATGAACATGTTAATCTGTAAACACTTTATAATTCCTTCATAAGTATTTATTTTGCATTGAGGGTGAGCAACAAACAAAACCAACACTCTCTTGCCATATAGTGTGACTTAATATTCAGCATGTCACCTGAATAAGGTACTACCTTATAGGCACAACAAAGCATTTGCAAACATAATTTTTAAAATAAACACAAATAAAACATTTACAGATTAATTTATAACAAATATATAAATTCTTTTTAGATCACCTGCAAAGGGTGGGAATGCAAACAAATACACAACTTACATTTAATGATTGATTAATGGTTTATTAGATTAAAAATCTGTTTCATCTGATCGTTAGACATTGACTAACTGGTATTTGCAACAGAAGTAATGTTGGAGAAACTTGAATCAAGTTTGATTTTGGTTTATTTAATGGAGACAAGAGAGGACTTTCCTAAAACTTACTCAGAAAAGTCAGACTTAGGCGCCCAAATCCAACTCGGCTCAGACAAATATCAATTTGCGATTAGTTGGTTTCACCAAAAGAACGTCTCGCTTGCCTAACGTCACGAATTTAAGACAAGCTCAATGGAGTTCACTGAGAAAACATAGTGAACCATTTCACTGGTGGAAACCTTCTGAAATTTCAATGAACATTAATAGCGAAATACTGTAGACAATAATAAATGGAAAGGGGGATGACAGGCCATTGCTGAGAGATTAAACATATAAATTGTCAACCTTTCCTTACACACATAATTTCCTAATATCCACAATAAATGTGATATATTACTGATGTCAGTTCTGACAATAATTTAGATGTTAGTTGTTTTTTTTTGTCGAGAGTTTTAATGCTTGTAGTGAAAATTAAGTTCAAACTTGTATCCCTGTTTAGTCAACTTTCAGTCTGGAGATCTTAGTCAACGTTTTCGTCCCAAACCACTAGAGCCATATAAGACTAATGCCACCATATATAATTAAGAATTATACAGATTTTAGTCAGATGAGTCTACTTTGACTTGAAAAATGACAAAATATTGCAATCCAAGAAATGAACACTTCTCCAGATTGAACTCTTCCAGTAACACTAGTGGTGAGAGACGCACCTCGTAACGGTGAAAACAAGGACACCAAACTAACCTAAATCTCTGATTGATCACGCTATCTTTATTTTAACACCACCCCTCCAATGTCCCACTATGTACATTGGAAAATGTTTTCCAATTTTTAATTTTGTATTTATTCAGTGATCTAATAGATTCCGGCTTTCCTTTATCTTCTACATATATCTGAGTTTAGTAAGACAACACGTTTTGTTTGTTCAGTCGGTATTAATACAGTTGAAAGGATAAATTGTTAAAGGGACACTATGCAACATTTTTCAGTTAATTAATGTGTTCCATAACGTTATGGATGACTAAATGAGTCATTTCAGGTTGAACAAAGGTATTCTCGGCCGCCCTGGTGGTCTGTGGGGGAAATACTGCACTTGCAACTGCAGGAGCACCGACCCGCACCCACAGGCTCAGAAGTCTCGTGAGAGTCAGTCTTGCTTTACGGCGAGAACTGCTACACGCCCCCAGTTAAAAGCATTCTCGTTGCTAGCACAGTGGCGATCTTTGTGCAGTTATGCTACGTTCACGCAGCAAAAGCAGCAAAATCGCGTCTGCTGCTTCCTTTTTGCTGCTTGTACCAGTTAGTTCTGATGCGTGGCTGAAGCAGCTTTGCTGCTCCGGCTGTGTCTGAGGCGTGTTGGGCGGAGCTTCACTATCCTTTCTCTGCCTTGCAACTATATTTGCTGTGATCAGTGGGAATAAAGTAGTTTTAATATGTGTTTAAGTGAGAAAATACACCTGAAAACGTAATCAGTGCAGTCAGTTCATTCAGATTATTATCCTGCCTTCAATATTTTTTCTGTCGGAGCCGCTCAGACCCCCACATACCAGCGGGGCGCCAACAGTATGGATCCCTTCATCAGCAGCGGTTCACCGCGGCAGCTGGTAGGTGTTTTTCATCTAAATAATCCAAACTGCATATTCTGCCGGCAGATTTCTGCATTTTAAGTTAATTTAGGCGTCAATAAACTGTTTAAGAGGAGTGATCATCAGCGCTGTGTCTCTCTCCCTGCGTTAAACGCACCCGACACGCTACTTCAGCTGCTCAGGCGTGCTGCGCCTGGTGCTCAAAACGCGCCGCGGGACCTTTTGCTGCGCCTTGACGCGCGTCAACCATTGACTTTGCATGTAAACTCGCTGCTTCTGTCGCGCCAGCTACGTCCAGTGTGAACGCAGCATTAGTCATTCGCTGCTAAGCTCAAAACAACCGCGCCTGGCTTGACGGAGAAACCAGGAGAACAGCTGTGCATATTTACGACAGTGCACTTTTACTTTCGCCCTCTGGAGGGAGCCTCACTGGAAAATCAACACCGGTTGCATAGTGTACCTTTAAAATGCCAGTGTTTTATTTTTCTATTAAGGGAAAACTCAAGTTTTCAATAAAATGGCTGCTTATCAATTAATTGTTGTTGATCGATAAGATCAATCAAATTGATAAATGCATCCCTGATAAGGGAGTATAATAGTAAAGTGGTATCATTTAATCTGCTTTGACACGAAAAGAAAATATGCAATTACCATGAAGATATGCTCAAATCCCTCCCTCTAATCCAATGTGTAAGTCTGTGCTGCTGTCTGGTTTTCCTCAAGTATGCACTACAGCCAGACATCTCTACTTTGGTCCCATCTGTCCAGCAGAAGCCACTTTGTTCTCTTAACCCATTTAGGCCTAAAACGCCTGGAAAAAACACCTTAAAAACCTATGGCCGATTTTAAAAAATACCCCTAAAACCTGAAGTTTTTCTGTAAATTCAGCAACTGTGTCAACGCCTTAATTATTGATATCTCAGCTTCTGTAGCAGATAGAACTCAAAATATATTTTATCTTTGAAATTCTTCCAAAAAAAAAATGTGAAAAGCAGTAATCAAAAAAAAAAAAAATTCAACCTTTTATTTTTTCCATATGTGATCATGTCTTCATTGAGAATGTGCAATATAAAACGTTTTCAAAATAAAGAACAAACATTACATAAATAACTATCTGATGATTACTTATTAACAGTATTATTATGCATAATAATGCATATGTCTGTGTTATAAATTGCATACAACTTACCTCCAGATGGCCACAAATCTGTCCCGGGACATATTTTGGGGGAACTGCGTCCTGAAGAGAGGTTTACATACACAGCCCAATAAATGTCTTCATCTCCGTCACAGTCACGGGTGACCACTTTGCCATCTTTGCTCTTGTTGGAGTTTGGTTTGTTTGGTCACTGTACCTATTCGTCTCGGTAACTAGATGCATCCAAAGTTCTTCATTAAAAATATGCTCAAATGCCTGCAGCGGTGTGGCGTCTGCAGGCAAATCAACTTTCACTCCAGGTGTGCGGTTGAAAACACTCCGTGCATTGCGGTGGTAGTTCGATTGGTTCAGCGCGTTCAAAGTCATCATTTCATCTATACCGTCATCAAAGCCGACACACTCCTCAAAATCACTGCCTTCCGACAACTCTTCTCTGTCAAACTCCTCCATGTTTGCTTGAAAAAAACTTCTTTCTTCTTGCTTGACTTATATGCTCTCCCGGCGTCAATGGTAGAATGACGCAACAGCACCCCCGGCTTGAATGGTAGAAATGCGGTAATGCTTTCCCGGCCTAAATGGGTTAAGGCCCTGCTGCAGCACTTCAGAGATCTCAACTCTGGCCATGTCTTTGCAACACCTTAATTGTATTTTTCTTTGTCAAACGTTTTGTTAGAGATTTAATGTTTAGGATCAATGTCTTATTACATGTTTAGTTATGAGTTTAAGTCAAAAACATAAATTCAATCTTACCCTTGTTGTTTAAAGGTCATAAACCGGGTTTATGTAATCCTGTCCAAGCATCATAGCTGCACATGTAACTACTGATTTTTCCATCCACTATTGACTATCTGACTCTTAAAAACTGACGCTGATTCTGTGTCAAGCATTTCTAAATATTTTGAGCAGGTTTAAAAAAAATCCACCTCATGTGTAGTAAAAATTCCTCTGTGAGGCAGGAAAACATTGGGATAAACAAGTTTGTTCTTTTACAGCTTATTCTAAGTCAGATAAAAATCATCAGTGATATCGGTAATAACTACTTCTTTTAGGGTTTGTAATTTTAAAAAATGCAGATCTAATATTTTTATTTAAAGACACAAACTTTGACATTATACATTAATTTCAAAATATGACAAAGATTTATAATTCTTACTGTTTTCTAAAACCAAAAAAATATTATTCTGCAATGTTAACCAATTATCTAAGTTAACAGAATGTGTATCTAAGTATCTATGCATTTCTAACCTAATAATAGTAGTTTAGTGTGACTATAATTAGATTACGGTAATAGCAAGAAGTAATTTTGGTAGCTTATTTAATCATTGTTCCATTATTTTCTTCAATTTATACAAAAAACATTGTCCTGAAAAAAATTCCCAAAAATAACAGTACTGTATGAAACACCCATTGTTAGCATATATAACAAAATATACATGTGATATGTACTGGAAATAACTACTATACTTCCTACCAACCCTACAGCCAAGTCAGTTATATCTGATTCGTATGCTTTTTTAAGAAGCAGTTATCTCCATTCATACCTCCTGCATCCAAACGACCCATTATAGAGATTGGAGCTGGAAGCGGTGGGGAGGTTCTTACCTGTCTGGAGCAGGAGTCTATGTCCTGGGCTCTGCTCCGGTACCAGTCGGTGAGCAGCTCAATGGATGGTGTGGCTGTACGAAATCTCTGCAGCTCTGGAGCTTCCTCATACAGAAAACCATCATCATCAAACAGGTGCTGGTCCAGCATCACTCTAGGTAAAAGAAATAAAAGTTTGTTATTTTTGTATTGAAGGTGAAAATTACTTATTTTATTGAATAAAATACCAAGGAGGCAAAAAGAAATGCTGTATTGATTATTTCTAAGGTTATTTTTAGCTTGATAAGAACATCAAATAAATAAAAAAATGATTTTTTTTTTTCCCATCAGTGATGCAGCATACTAAGCACCACCAGGATGTTTTTATTATATGACTCCTTGGTGTGACGGTTGGTCTTCTATTTTTCAGAATCAGTGAGGTATTAAATCAGGTAATTTGATGCAGTTCATTTCACCAAGCAAGATAGCAAATCCTTTAGTAGAAAACAGAGGGATGAATATATTACAGCAAAGTGCATTAGATTTATTCATCTGAGCTTCGTTATGGAACACGCTGGGTCTACAAATGTTTGCACCATTTTGAAAATCTCAAAAGGAAATAAAGCTTTACAGTCTGTAGAGAAGAAATTAGTAAACTTCTAATAAAAAAATTAAGCCTGATAAAATGTAACATCAAATAATTTTTGTTTGTTTTACTCGATGGTCTGACGTTGCTTTTGCTCCTATTATTAAATTAAATTAAAACATTAGTTTGTGTCTATTTCACCAACATTAGATCTACACCTTGATTGCAATTTTATTTTATTTTTTGCTAAGAAAGTGTATTTTTTACTAAAAGCAAGTAAGGTAGTAAGGTAGGACCTATAAAAAGGAAGAACTAAAGGAACCACGGAACTAAGAGGGAGGGAATATTAGAAGAAAGGATAGAAGGAAAGGAAGTAGGACACAAAAATAGAAAGGGTTAGGATGACAAAGAAACAAAAAAGGAAGAGTGTAAGAGAACAGAGGGATATGACCAAGGAAAAAAATGAAAAAAAGGAGGGAGGAAAGAAATAAAGAATAGAGGGAAAGAAGGAGCAAAGAAAAGGTGAACAAAATGAAGCTTGCTTGCGTCTATTACTCCAAAACTAAATCTACACTTTAAGAACTGGAAAATAAAGGAGAACGGAGGGAGGGAATCCACATGCATTGTGACAGGCTTAAAAGTTTTCTATAAAAGGAAATTTGTGATCTTAGGTAACCAGACATACCCAAAAAATTGTAATAAAACAGAAAATAAATTTTGAAATATAGATTAAAGCAAAAGCACAAGATTCTCCTTCATTAAACATCAGAAAAAGCAGATAATCGATAAAAACATCCACTATTCGTCCAAGAGAGAAACTCTTTCAAAAATTGACTGGAAAGGTAAATATAACTATATAAAGTTGTTAAAAATGCATTCAGGGGTGCTTTAGCTTTAATTCTATCTTAATAAAAAAACTTCTTAATGCAAAAAATATTAAAGGAAAGACAGAAAGGTTTATAATTTGTCTTAAAACCTTCACTGTTTCACATAAACAAAATGCCGTTCCAGAACAAGTATATCCATCTCAGCAATAAAATATATTATCTCTCTACACCAAGAAGTAATAAAACTGTGTCTGCAAAGTAAAATTGTAAATGAATCTGGCCCCCCGATAGTAGATGGCAAATGGCACAAATTGGCAGCACAACAGGACGGAGCATTAGTCTGATATGGCTCTATTTAACAATTGGATAATAGGATGTCATGTTTTGTTTCTCATAATGATGCCAGCAAAAGCATCTGGCCTTCATGGAACAGGAATGATTCCAATTCTGCAATGTTGATAGGAGGCTTTTTATGAAGAATTCAGGCAGGTCATTTAATTATACATTAAGCCCTTCTTTTCTAAATGCTGGAGTTCATTATTGTTTAATGCTAAAATTCAGCCAGTTTTAATATGAAGTATTTACCTGCACTCCTCTTCCTCACACCAGTCCTTCTCTCTGTGTTTCTGCTCGTCCCAAGGGATCAACGCCAACTCGCCTCTCTCATCCAGACTGTAACAGAAAAATATAAGGAAAAAAAACACAAACAAACATTTAAAATTACATAACTAAACCAAAAAAACAGCCTAATCAGACAACCACATACAGTAGCACCTGCAGTGCCTAGAATAACCACGTCACAGGTTCTTTCAGGTTTTGATACGACATGCATTTCTCATTATTTCATTCATTTTTGTAAAAACATTATCCATATACATCTGTACATAATGAAAAAGTAACAGCCAAATTAGCATAAGCCTAAACTAACTACTTAAATGCAGTTATTAGCCAGTCTGACTAGCCTTACTCAAAGTTATTTATTGCCAAACATGTACCATTAAGAAAACATCTAAATTTAAACTGTGTGGCAACAGAAAACAGACTTCAAAGATTAAAAAAAGGCAACTGCTGAGATTCAACAACTGCTGAAAAACATCAAAGCTAAAATATGTTTGGTATAAAACACAAAAGGTTGAAACAAATAGGTTATACCGGTATTTATTTCTTGATCAGTTATTTTTGTTACCATATTTCTATTTTTCACATAATACATTCTGTTTTACTTATTTAATCTTTTTGATATCATCATGATTTATCTATGGTTAGTTTTATTTGTTTCATCATCATTAAAGTGGAATTAATGATGGAGAAAGACCCCGGGCCAGGAAGCGAACCCGCAACCTTTTTGCTGCTTTTTAAGTGTTTATTGGTGCCAAATTTTGTTGCAATGCGTTTATAATTACAGATATGCTTTCCTCCATACATCCAGGCAGACTTTGCATAAACATGCTAAGTTTTACACACGCGCTCCAAAAATAATTAATAAAAAGAAACCAAAGTGAAAATGATTAGCTAATCTTGTATCCCAGATCTGACAAGTTACCCCCAAAAAACTATCAATTCAAATCCCCAAAAAGCATAAAAATGCCTATGCTCCTGCTGAGACATAAAACAGCGAAGATAGTAGATTTCCTTCTGTTATCTACTCCACGATTGACACAAAAAATATGTACCGTCTCTGTAAACTCTAACAGTGCAGCTACTAATCATCTATGGCTTCAAGGCGGAGGGCACAAGCACTGCAGCAGTTTTATTAGTGCTGCTATAAATCTGATCACAAAATACATAAGAAAAAGATGCAGGTGTGATTTATGTTACTTGAAAAAATTAGTGTTAGCGATTTTCCCCTACACATGGGGTAAACTCATCCATCAGGACTGAACATTTGGAGCCGAGAAAGTCCTGGAAAAAGTTGGGCAAACTCTATTTTTCCATTTAGTCTGTCTTTAATCTTCATTAACGACAGCTTTATTAGAGAGAGGAGAGTAAATACCGAAGGGTTCAGATATCAATAAGAGAAATAAATTATTCTGCACCCAAAGCTCTGATGTACTTCATTTGGGAGGAACAGGGAAAAACAGGAGTGATGAAGATGCAAAGCATTTTAATTTTTTTGGTTTATTGGGAAAACAATTTTAAACTACAAGCAAACTTCTAAACAAACTAGCTCCCCTCAAGTCCCCAGACAGACCTGATCGATATTACAGAAGAATACTGTATTCACCCTCCCTCCCGTCTTCCCAATAAAGCAAGACTTCAGTATATAGAGTGAGCTCCAGACAGATGGTGTGAGCACGCTCCGTCTGCTGCAGTGTGGGAGTGAGTGTCGAAGGAGCAGCAGTTGGTGCTCACAAGCTGAGGGAAATGGAAAACTGGCCCACAGCGGCAGCTCCATGATGGATGCCCACTGCAGAGCCACAACCGCCTGACCTCCATACAAACTCAAGACATGGCTAATAAAAAAAGGCTTCAAAGAAATGTGTGCGGGGGCATGATGGTAGATGAGAAACAAAGGGACAGTTACTTCTCTGTAGAAAAAGTCAGGATTCCAGGAGACTTTCTTTAAGGAAAACAACGTGTTTGACTACTGTTAATTTGAGTCTGAACAGTCTTTAAATACAAATGTTTGTCTGTCTAATGAGAACAAGGTCAAACTACCCCAGAATGGGAAAACAAGCAACCAGATAATTGCATTCATGGAATCTATCATGATTTAATTTGCCTGTTTTCAGTATTTCACTGAAAACATAATCAGCACCATTCAAACGCATAATTCCTGAATCTACTAATATTTTGTCACAGGAACACTTCAAAGATCTTCAAAGGAATTTTGTGTAACTGAGTAGTCTGTAATAGTAAAGTGAATGGAAAAATATGCAACTTCTTTTTAACATAAAATAATGTCTAGTGTGTATGAATGTTTGTTGTTAAACAGCTCAAGCTCAGCTAAATAGGATGGAGATGCGAGTTTATGTTCAATTTCAATTCTGAAAAATCAAAGGATTTTGATCTAAATCATTTCAATTTAGCTTTGTCTACATGTTGAGTAATAATTTAACCTGACATTGCTGCAGCCTAACAGGTTTTCTCCCAAAAGTCCTAGAATTTAGCTAAATTTACCCCCCCAGTCAACTCTGACCACCTTCTCTTCCCCTGCAGCATGATGCTTAAAGCACCAAACGTAAGAAAATGTATTTTGTTTCTGTATTATGTTTTTTCTTCTCAACATAAAGCAGCCTCTTTCTAGATGCTCATCTATAAAAGGAGGCAGATTAGTAGCATGCATTATTAATACTTCCTCTTCCTGTGTGTGGATGTTTGCAGCTCCTCCAACGTTACCATCAGTCTATTGGCTGCTACCGTCACTTTAAGAGGATAGACACATATTACTAATTTTATATTTTAGAATGAGTACTTGGTGAGCTGTTCAATCCTCCATCCCGCTTTTTTAGTAATTACAGAATAGATGTAGAGAAGTTAAATGTAACTTCACTCTATACCATCCCCATTCACAGTGTCCCTGGGTACAGCTGTCAGGTATTATCAGCATGGTGGTGTTCATAAGGAGGTTACATTATACAGCTATATAGTCACTGGGTGACCTCCAAAGGCATTGTAATTGACTTCCCTCAGAGATATCAGTGTGAGCAATTGAGAAACATTGTAAGATAAGCTGTTCTGTGTGTATATGTCAGGAGAAGCATACAGGTGCTGGTCATAAAATTAGAATATCATGAAAAAGTAGATTGATTTCAGTAATTCCATTTAAAAAGTGAAACTTGTATATTATATTCATACATTACATACAAACTCATATATTTCAGATGTTTATTTTGTTTAATTTTGATGATTACAAATGACAACAAATGAAAATCTCAAATTCATCATATCAGAAAATTAGAATATTACTGAAGACCAATAAAAACAAAGGATTTATAGAAATGTTGGCCAACTGAAAAGTATGAACATGAAAAGTATGAGCATGTACAGCACTCAGTATTTAGTTGGGCCTCCTTTGGCCTGTATTACTGCAGCAATGCGGCGTGGCATGGAGTCGATCAGTCTGTGGCACTGCTCAGGTGTTATGATAGCCCAGGTTTCTCTAATGGTGGCTTTTAGCTCTTCTGAATTGTTGGGTCTGGTGTATTGCATCTTCTTCTTCACAATACCCCATAGATTTTCTATGGGGTTAAGGTCAGGAGAGTTTGCTGGCCAATTAAGAACAGGGATACCATGGTCCTTCAACCAGGTACTGGTAGCTTTGGCACTGTGTGCAGGTGCCAAGTCCTGTTGGAAAATGAAATCTGCATCTCCAAAAAGTTGGTCAGCTGCAGGAAGCATGAAGTGCTCTAAAACTTCCTGGTATGTGGCTGCGTTGACCCTGGACCTCAGAAAACACAATGGACCAACACCAGCAGATGACATGGCACCCCAAACCATCACTGACTGTGGAAACTTTACACTGGACTTCAAGCAACGTGGATGAAGTGCCTCTCTTCTTTTCCTCCAGACTCTGGGACCTTGATTTCCAAAGGAAATGCAAAATTTACTTTCATCAGAGAACATGACTTTGGACCACTCACCAGCAGTCCAGTCCTGTTTCTCTTTAGCCCAGGCAAGACGCTTCTGACGCTGTCTGTGGTTCAAGAGTGGCTTGACACAAGGAATGCGACAGCAGAAACCCATGTCTTTCATACGTCTGTGTGTGGTGGTTCTTGAAGCACTCACTCCAGCTGCAGTCCACTCTTTGTGAATCTCCCCCACATTTTTGAATGGGTTTTGTTTCACAATCCTCTCCAGGGTGCGGTTATCTCTCTTGCTTGTACACTTTTTTCGACCACATCTTTTCCTTCGCTTCGCCTCTCTATTAATGTGCTTGGACACTGAGCTCTGTGAACAGCCAGCCTCTTTAGCGATGAGCTTTTGTGTCTTGCCCTCCTTGTGCAAGGTGTCGATGGTCGTCTTTTGGACAACTGTCAAGTCAGCAGTCTTCCCCATGATTGTGTAGCCTATAGAACTAGACTGAAAGACCATTTAAAGGCTTTTGCAGGTGGTTTGAGTTAATTAGCTGATTAGAGTGTGGCACCAGGGGCCATCAATTTTTAACCTTTTCACAATATTCTAATTTTCTGATATGATGAATTTGAGATTTTCATTTGTTGTCATTTGTAATCATCAAAATTAAACAAACTGACATCTGAAATATATGAGTTTGTATGTAATGTATGAATATAATATACAAGTTTCACTTTTTAAATGGAATTACTGAAATCAATCTACTTTTTCATGATATTCTAATTTTATGACCAGCACCTGTATTTACAAGTAGTGATGCAGAGCACAGCCAAACTCATACTGTATGAATGTGAGCATGTTAACAATGCATGGGCACAGACTCCAATGGAGGTGTTAGTGTTTTAAGGGATTTTAATTTGAAATGTATGATATGTGAGCCTTGCCATTCCGGCAGAATGTAAATGTCTGCTCTAATTGTCCTCATTGGAAAAGTCAGCACTTTTCCCAAATTCAGATATTTTTTTGTTCTATACATTTAGAGTTGATAGAAAAAAATATATTGTTCCAACCCGATCTGTTCATCACACATTTGATTATCCTGAATGTGACTTTTTATTATGTTTAACTTCTTGTCCGTAGGTTAAAGCAAAGCTTAATACCAGTTTATCAAGTCAAGCATGTCATTTTATAATGGAAATGTGTGTGTGCTCCGGAATAGTATGGAAGCTCAGTGTCAGTAATTTGGATAATGGTTTAAGGTTTGACAGAGAACAGCAATGAAATCCTGTTCCTTTCTTTCCAGTTCAGGCAACAGGAAAAAAATTAAACCCATCCTGCAAAAAGATGATTTTTAAAATAGTAATTTATGCTCTTATTACAAGTAGGATGGATTACTCCATCACTGCAGCAAGGTGTTAGCCAGGTATTGTTTTTACACCATTAGTTGGAGCAAAATACATGAGAACATATTTCAAGTGGTCCACAGAGAAGTGAGACAATGGATGCATTGGGCGGTTGTAGAAGTGTTGTAGAACACTCCACCATTACCAATTAGAAAGGCAAACTAATTAATATTTTCTTTTAATGTTGTTAGAATACCAACCCTTTTGGTTCTGCTTTTAACCCAGTGTAGTATAATTTAGTAAAGGTTTTATTGACTTTCTGATTTTTTTCTAAATTGTTATTGATGTTTCTATTATTGTTTTGTGTTCTGTATTTTCAGCCTTTCTAATTTAAATATATATATTTTTTTTACCGTGCTCTATAAAAAAGTTAGGTTAGCATGTTGTTACCTTGTTGCCCATCTTTTTCTGCAACACTGAATTAATTTTCCCTTACAGAAGCTACCATTTCTTTAATTTACGCGATTAATTTAAGAATAAAATGATGCTACAATCTCAAGAGGGTGCTTATGGGAAATCAGGGGTAGTGTATGGACTACAGCAGGGGCAGCTGTTTTAATAATGACCAACAAACAAGCTGAGCAAATTACAGCTTTAAACAAAAACACAAAAATCTATTAAGAGCTAATAGCTGAGGTTTGGTACTTATGATAAATGGACAATAAAGATTAAAGCAACGGTGCTTTCCACTAAGAGTAAGGTAAGTAAAAGACAAGTAAAAATATATTTTAAGTATTTAAGAGTGAATGTAATCATTGCCAGTATTTATATACATGGATATGAACAAAAGAAGTAAATCTCCCCTCTATGATCCACATAAGTCAATAAAATAAAACAATAACTGGAAAACAAGGAAACAATAACTTTAAAGAAGAGTGATAAATGTTTAAATAAATTGTTACAACTATAAAAAGGAGATAAGCTGACTAAAACCAGTAATCTGTCCCAATGGCATACAGCTTTTGATAACAGTTTTGACGACCCAGATTACATACTAGAGAAGAAAATCCCTCCCATCAATAAAAATGTTTGTTAAAGCTGCAGACTTCTGAGCACTGCGAGGGCGTAGGGGTTATGCAAACAACCCAGCTGGCTGTCATGGGTTCGAGTCCCAGCCTGTTGACCTTTGCTGCATTTCTTCCCTTTTATCTCCGATACAATTTCCGTCTGCTTACTTTACAAAAGAAGGAAAATATAGCCCAATAATGCCTAAAAACTAATTAAAATAATCTAAAAAGCTGCAGACTTGGAACAGCTGTCAAAATCAGCCAGATGCTAAATGAGTTAATGCTATATTCAAAGAGCTTATAGTTCAGTCCATATTACCATTGGGACTTTACTTTGGATTTGTTAATGTATTTGAATAGTCTAAATAATTAAGCTAATCAAAATGGCATTGAAACAAAAGATGGCCTCTATTTTTAATAACTTGTGGCAGCTTTCTTGCAGCAATTACGCTCCATTACATGCTTTTAGCTCATGTCCCACTAGTGTGTCCATGACTGCTGACTGAATCTGCAGTCTAACCTCATCAGTAGAAAGGTTTGTTTTTTTTTCTGAAAAATTTGAGGCTTTTGTGTGAACTCCGCTATTTAGGAAATTTAAAGCTTGCGATTTTATTTAATAACCTAACCCTGCTTTAAATTTCTTCACCTATCTCTCCATAACCTGTCTGCTTTTGTTCCTTAGCCTTTATAATGCAGTTTATTCGTAAATGTTTTCCAACAAATCCCCCAACTCCTTTGCAGAACAGCTGGTATTCAGATTAAATTACACACAGGCGGACTAATTTGTCATTAACTGACCAATAAAACCCACATGTTATATAGCAAAGAGGCAATATGAGACTCCCAAAAATGCAATAAAACAATGTATGCAAATATAAATTCTGGGGAGGGTTTGAGATGGGTTCAATTATTTAAAATAAAAAGGGTGAGGGGAATGGTGGCAAGGTTAGGGCAGTATGTTTGGAATTCAGAGGTTCTGAGTTTAAGTCCTACCCCCACAGACTGCCACTCTGGGTCCCTGAGCAAGACCCGTAACTGCACACTGCTCCCTGGGTGCCGCAAAATGGCAGCCCACTGCTCCCCAGGTGGATATCATTAAAGTTAAATTATTATTCAATTCAGTTTATTTATATAGCGCCAATTCACAACGAATGTCATCTCAAGGCACTTAACAGTTCACCAGATCATACAGTCAGATTGATTCAAAGATTTCTGTCTAAGGAAAACCAGTTGATTGCATCGAGTCATTGACTCAAATACAATCCCTCACACTAAGCATGCTTGTAGTGACAGGGGAGAGGAAAAACTCCCTTTTATCAGGAAGAAACCTCCAGCAGAACCAGGCTCAGTGTGAGCGGCCATCTGCCGAGGCCGACTGGGGTTCAAGAAGACAGAAGCAGAGATACATTTATAATACAATTGTTATTATTGAATGATTTTAATGAGAAATCAAGCTCTGTTTTTTGTGCTATTTCAAATGATTCATATCGTATCATATTTGAACGTCTATAAGTCTTACCAGGCTTCAGGCAGCAGGACAGCGTACTCATGGGGGGATGTGGTTTCAGGGAAGTTGTAAAGGATAGACAGTCTGTGCTGCAGGAGTTCTTCTCCATGATATGTGAAGAGAATATTCAGGGCCTGCACATTGCTCTCCTGCAGGTAGTGTGACAAAACATGAACATAAACGTGAATATAAAATATGCGATTTTAGAAACATAAATGCAAAAGCCAGTGAAAAAAAGATTTGCTTTCATCTACATAAATTTAAGTTTGAAAGTGACAGACAAGGTCAGAGAGCGTTATTTAAGGAGAGGCAGGTAGGCATCATCAGAGATCTATCCTGTATTACCCTGGCGTAGTTTCTTGCTGACAGAACAATGTTTTGGCTTCGGAACTTCTTGAAGAACTCGGCATCATATTTCTGCTCTGCTGCATGAGGCCCACCAAGTATCTCCTGGAAAAACAAAGGGTGGGGAGGCAAAACACAAATTGAGAAAGACAAAAGTAATTTCTTGTTCTCTCAAAGAAACCCAGGAAGCATGGGCATGCTGATGGCGCAGTGGTTAACACTCATGACCCTTTTACGGAGGCCTTAGTCTTCGACGCGGCCGACCCGTGTTTGAATCCGACCTGTGGTCCTTTGCCGCATGTCTCTCCCCCTCACTCCCTTTCCTGTCAGCCTACTGTTGAAAAAACGAGCCACTAGTGCCGTTAAAAACTCAAATAAAGAAAAAATTCTAAAGCATAAGGGTTATCAGGATGGCAGTTCAAACTAAAGACGAGAAGGACAAAAAAGAACAAGATGACACTATGAATAAATGCAGTAGAGTCAACATTTACCTTGGCCGCTTACAGCTGCTTTGGCTGGATCTTAGGAACTTGAGTGTGTGCATATGTCAGAGAGGAACATTTGTTGTCCTGGCCTTTGGCTAGAGGGATTTATCTGTGGGTATTAAATCTATGCAGCATCTTTTATGCTTGAATATGTGTGTGCGTTGAGGAGGGTGTCAAGATGCGAGTGTGTGATGGATAGCCTTTGAATGGGTTGTACTCAGACAGAGTCAGCCTGAGTCGGGATGATAAAAACCCTAATATCATATTCATAGACAGCCAGAGAAAATGGATTGGGGCGAAAGGAATCTGACGAGTCCTGCCGTTACCATGACAATGTCCGGGTAAAGTGAGGGACGTCACTCTGCCTGAGCCAAATATGCAGTAGAGTAAAAAAAAATAAAAATAAAAAATCATCTCCCCCAGCATGGGGGAAAGCAAAGCCTTGTTCATTTGTAATTTATTGTGGATGAGCAGGGTGTGCGTGCCAACATCCTTCAAAGTGAATATAGAATCCACTTTCTTAAGCGCTTGGATGCAAGAGTCAAGCTCCACTCCAGACATGCGCATGTTGCACTGAAGTGCCTCTATAGCAAGTCTATCAGTAATATATAACTTGTTGGAGCAGGGAGCGTCTGCCACTTCTACTGTCTTCCATTCAGATACTTAGAAGTCCTCTCACGTCCTTATCTTCTTTAGATGTTTTCATATTTCTTGGGAGATTAGTGGGGTTGAGAGAAAGTATCCATGCAGGATGGATGAGAAAATCATCTGCACATTGTAGGGATTTGATATGAAAGCAGAAAGCATTAGTTAGTTTGCTGGTGGGAAAACATCTAAGCCGTAAAGAATGTTTAAGAAAACATTAAAGCAATTTGCGTCCCTCATAAACACGGGTGAAAATACGCGAGGCATTAAAATCCCTTTTGCTTACTGCAATTTTAATTATAATTAATTCTTCTTCAAGGACCTTCTCTCTGTATTAATTACCACAGATTCAGGCTGAACACTTCGAACAGAATTAGGATGCGAGTTTTAGAGAAAAAACATCCATTCAGACCACACAGAGCCTGCAGGCTAAAGACTCGACAATCGATACACAATTGGAAAAAGCCTCCATTAGGGGCATAAGACCTTCTTGCACAGGATCTTGCAAAGCACACTATTTTGCATCAAAGTGAGGCTTGTTTTGCAAAACTCTGCTTCACCATGACTTTCTTGAACAAAATATCTTTTCACCCTTCTGCATATTAGCCTTGTGTTTAATATGGCAAAGTTAGGAGAAATTAAAAGACGGTTAATAGTCCTATATATATATATATATATATATATATATATATATATATATATATATGATATACAAACATACCTTGTTTACAATGGCTTAAAACAGCACCATCTCCATTTTGACTCAAGTATTTGTTTAATTAAGATATATCAATTATTTCTTTAAGAACAACATACAACACTTAGCGCTTTTTGACGCTTCATTTAGCTGCCATTCTCAAAGTCTCTACTATGTAAACTTAGAGGGTCGGATCCATCCCTGAGTGAGCCAGGTGACTTAGAGCTCTGATTAATCAGAATCAGGATCAAGTTTATTGCCGAGTAGGTTTGCACTTACAAGGAATTTGAATTGGTGTTGATGGTAATGGCAATTAAGCTCCCTTAAACATGAGAGATGACCCTAAAATAACCTTAACTTATTAAACACTGTTTCCATGCCTGCCACTGTCTTCTCAAACCCCAGTTGGCCTCAGCAGAAGGCTGCTCACACTGTGCCTGTTTCTGTTGGAGGTTTCTGTTTGTTAAAAGGGAGTTTTTTTCTCTCCACTCTTGCTTTATGTATGCTTGCTGAAAGAGACTGCTGTAAATTCAGCAACACAATGCAAGCAAATATTTACTATCTCATCCATGCAAAGTCAATGACTGGATGCAATCAGCTGGGTTTCCTTGAGATAAAAAATGTTCAACCAGTCTGACTGGATGATCTGATATGAATTGTCTCTGCAAGGTGCCTTGAGATGAAATGTTTTGTGAAGTTTTGCTATATAAATAAAATGCTTTGAATCAAAACATTTGTTGTTAGTCAACAAAACGGATGTGACTCTTTCCTGATCAGAAATTATTTTTGGTTCTCTGATGTAGGACTGTATCTAGAGTGGTGAACAGGGCCTGGTTTTTTACAGGTAACCAAATGACTTCTCAGTCTGCCTGTTATCTGATTCCAAACCACTGAGGAAGACTCTTCAATTTTACCACAGTACTGCCAGTGGCTTCCATGGAGTATAAACCTAAGAGTTATAGGTCAGGCACCCCGTTGGTTAAATGTTAAACTAATTATAAAAGGAATTCTGCTTTAGGTCAGACTAAATGTTTCCAATTTTAAAAAGCCAAGATGATGACCTTGTAGCTTTAAAGGATTCCTAATATTCTAATTAAATATGGACCACCTGCCAGTAAAACTGTGGAAATATAAAAAAGTAATCAGCTCAGATATCAGGAAAAGATATATTGGCCTCCAAAAGTATGGTCCATCTACGAGTTTGTTTTTCCACTTGCATTGAGGTGCCATGTTCAGCAACTCTTACTGTGCACATGGAAACAGCATAGGGGTCCCCAGCTATCATGCTGTCAACAAAATAGTTTCTGTGATCTATTAAGGAGTGGGCTTTAATGCAAATGTTGAAATCAATGTCAGAAAAGAAAAGAAAGGGTTATGATACTGGATAAGGCTGATAAGAAAGCTACCTCATCCATATTTTTTTTGTGAGTTCACTTAGAGCGCAACAACCCATTATTCTCAAAACACCATAAAAGGCCTTTTTACAGTTTGCAATTCCATCAGGGACAAAGATCTAAATGTCTGGAGACATGGCCTGTGAATTAAGGAAACTGATATTGATGTAACTATTGCTACAGAAGGAGAAGTATGGGAGCGGAGGTGTCCTGTTTTGTTTAGTTTTTTGCAGCATGTCCTAGGAAGCTTTAGAAAAAACATTGCATCACAGGGGAAAAAATATGGGAAATTATTGAGGAACACTTCAAAACATCAGCAGGAACCTAAAGCTTGGACGTAAATCGTTCCATCAGATGAAAAACAAACATAAGTATATGTAAACATTAACTTGAATTTACTTCAGGACAAATTAGTTGACTCAGTTGTCCTGAAGTAAATTCAAGTTAAGTGGCCATTACAAGGAGCTGAACTAATCACACTGGATCTGCTACTGCAGTCATAAGAGGAGGAGTGGCCAAAAATCCTGGTAGACTGTTGTGAGAAGCTTGAGGATAGATAACCCAAACGATAACCAAGTCAGACCGCTTAAAGGCGTTTCAAAAAGTCGAAAAATCTCTGTTATTTTAGAATTAAACAGAAATAAATTTAGTAAAAAACCCCAAAAACAGAGGAAGTACAGATTAATTCAAAGACAAACCTTAAAAAAGTGAAATCTGTTTGTACGAAATAGTTTGAATTGGATCCAAAGTTGCTTATTAATTCATAAATTTAATCTTAAAAATCTAACTGTAAAAGTTACAGCATTTTTTAAAAGATATGCTTTCTCTCTGTGTCATTCAGTGGCAACTTCAAAGCCATTTTCTCACCTCATATGTTGCCAGTCGGTCCAGGTAGGAGAGTAATTTCAGTCGACTACGACACAGTTCTTTCTGCTCCAGGGTCAGCCTGAGAGGGGAAAAAAAGAGCACACACACATATATATGTATGTAATTAAAATGCATGGCTGCTAGCTCTGGACAGTTACATTGAGAGCTCAAATCTGACAAGGTACTGGACAGTAAAGTTAACCCCAGTGAAATTAGACTTCTACTTTAGCCTGCATGTTCCAGAAAGACATGAACCAGCTTCAAATTTACACGAAATTGACTCTGAACAAGAAAATCCACGCAAACATACAAGACTTTTAACTAGACTTTCCAAATTTATACTTTTCTAAGGCCGCTAAATCAACTTCTATAGACTACAAAAAAAAAAAAAAAACATTCAGTTGGTATGTACAGTATGTCATTGAGGTGAGTGATTATCTTACAAGAATCAGGTCAATGTCCAATATCATTTAATCACAGCTATAAATCCACTGAATGACTTCGAACATTAAAGTTCCAGGCACAAATCCATAAATATCTGTGGAAGATCAGGTCTGCCCGTTGAAGATCAGTCCCAGATCAACAGCCATGGACCTGACCTCTCATCCTTCGTTTTAATCCTTAATCCCTAATTACTGAGGGTGATATCAGGTTTTAGCTTGGTGTCTCTATAAAGACTAACAAAGATTAACACTGGCTCAGAACACCCTCTGGCACATCAAAGAGCGCTGTTTTAGAGCTCGCACTACTGGTAATTACTTTACTCTGTTTTCTTAGAGCGACGCTGAAAAAAAAAAGGCAGAGTGAGGAGATGAATGGCAAAAGGGTAAGGAAGAGGGATGAGGAGAGGAGTGCTGTTCTCTAAACAATAAGGCTGGAAACAATACATTATACAGCGATAATCTAAAACCAAGAAAAGAGTTAGTGATGTGAGAAATATCTTAATTTAGAATATCAACAGATTTATACATTTGTGTAGTTCTGTGGTGCAAGAAACGGATCATTTGATCACATTTTAAAGACCTTTTTCCTTTGGCTTGATCACTGGATGTTTTTCTGAAAAACATGCAAAACTAAACCCTTAATGTCCCTTTTTTTTCTTACTGCTATTTCAAAAATCTGGTTGTGAAGACGAGTATCTCCTTAAACCTGTAAAATAGGTCATCAATATGGAATACAGTCATATTTATCTGTATGCTCAGTAACTACTAGACATTTTCAGATTTTTCTCTTTTCTTTTTGGTCTGTGTGCCAACCTACGGTTTGATACCCAAGACGCTCTGACTCACTCATGGGCAGATGTGGTCGATACAGGGTCATTTCTGGAATGGTTTTGTAGTTAAAAAGAAATTAGGAAAATTATTATGTGCCTCACGGGTCTCATCCGCAGGCCTCCCGTCAACATGGCTAGATCCATTAGCAGAGCACTCACACACAGACACAAATAAACACATTTTGGGGACACATTTCAACTCCCTGGGAGAGATGGCCTCTCAAGGAAATCTATGTTTTAAGTATTTAATATAAGGGTCTGCCTTATGAACTTATTTTATATATATATATATATATGTAAATAAAATCACCCCTCATACGCACAGGCAAATTTTCACAGGCATAAATATATATATATATATATATATATATATATATATATATATATATATATATATATATATATATATATATATATATATATTCTGTACCCTGCTAACTATTAACCCTACATTCATCTTCTATTTGCAATTTATCTACATGAAAACAGGTTCGCAATGAAGCTCTGGTTTATTTGGATAAGCCACACAGAGAATCAAGCACAAGCAAAACAATTAAATACGATACAAAATGAATGACAGCCATTACAAAAGCTCTCCTCTACAAACTCTGTGCTTGTTTTAAGTTAAATGCACACTGGAGGCTCCATACTTATTATAAGAACCTGCTGTAAGAGGAACAAAAGTCAACACACAATCCAGCACTTCCAGATCAAAACCTGCAGGAACAATGCACACACTACAGATTTGCATTTTAAAAGAGGAGCATTCAAACAAGTTTATGCTCATTTTCCTCTGTTTCCAGTCATTTATTTAAACAGGTGTCTGTAATGTGCATTAAATCGCATTAAGAGTGTTTTTGAGATACATGGGTATGAAAATTTGCCTGTGCGTATGAGGGGTGATTAGTGATCCCTGAAGGGTTTTTCATTAGTCTTTCCCTGGGTACTTGACAACACAGGCATAAATTACCTCCAACAGATTACCCACTAATCTGCGCCAATGGTTTTTCTCTGTCTTCCCACCCTCATCTTCATTAGCATGGCTGCATTTATGATCCTCTCTCATAATCAAACTATCATGGCTCAATTTAGCCGCCCTCTCTTAATATCCACTGCTGGTTTTCCAGTCTACCATCTCAACATGACTGCTACTGTGTTTTCTATATGATGTAAAGTGCATACCAAGAAAAATAACACATTAATGTATTATTGCAATACACAAGACAACAACTTGCCAAACTAACTGTCTCCCACTGGTGTGGGTCAGGTTTCCCTTAGTGGGATTTTTCCACCCACTCAACAAATGGTTCTCCCAAGATCTCAAAGTGAATAAATATACAACACCCACTGAAAAAAACAAAGAAAAAAAATAAATGGATGATAATTACATACACACTAAATTAATTAAGGATAAAGGACGGCAAAGGAGGGGTTCACTTCCAGCAATCAAGCATATCCTCTCTTGCATTAGAAGGCAGAAAAACAAGCAGCATTTCTGCCTGGTTTACAGTACGGCAGACGAGAAAAAAAAATGAGTTTTGTTTTTCAAACCTTATTTCATGTTTGCCTCTCTAGTTATAGGGGAAACCTCCGCTGCAACCAGTCCAACTGCCTGGAGGCCACAGAGCTGTTGGTACGGGCAAAAAAATAAATAAAAAAACTCTAACTTAACACAATAAAATAGTGTTGAAAAATGTTGTGAAACAAAAAAACTAAGCTAAAAAAAAAAAAAAGCATTTCACGAGCTGCTCCTGCTCCTTTCATTAATGTCATTATTAATTAGTAAATTAATTAGTTGCCTCAAACATGGTTTTTAACACAAGTGCCATCATAATGCTCATCTTCAATACTGTTTCCTGTAATCACCCTCAGACTTTTATCACTTTTTTATTTTGTTGATCATTAAATACATAGACTGTGTGGCACAATATTGTGCCAAACTTTAAAGGAAACACCCTTTTTAAGCCTTAAACACTGATGGACAGATGAAAGGACTTATTGATGGTCAGAGCGGACGGGCAGAAAGAGAGAAAACACTTGCAAAGAATGAAATTCAAAATAAAATTTAGAAAAAACATTTTTTGGCAATTTATTCTCTATTCCCATTGTTTATAGATCATAATAATATATATATATATATATATATATATATATATATAGAGATAACAAACAGGGCACATTGATTTAAGGAGATAAGATACAAGGAAAAACCTCACAATTAGTGATAACTGTAATAAATTTCATAATAAAATTCAGTCAAGTAATTGTATTCAGTTCTTGTTTAAAACCCAATCAGAGTTCTTCACTTTTCCATAAACTTTTACATTGCTTCTTTAACATCAGCTGTAACACTGGTGCATAAAACTGCAGACTTCTAGGTCAAAGGGCTGGTAGTAAAACCCCCATACCTGGTGAAATCAACCTTGGCAAGGAGCTCCTGTCTTTTCCTTTTCTCTCGCTCCTTCTTTATCTCCAGCTCCTCATCATCTGATAAGAGGTCTTCATATGGGAGGTCATAAAGGTCCACATCGCCTGGCATGATAAACCTGAGGAAAGTAACAAAAACATCAACATGCCGAACAGGCTCTGGGTCAGCAGAGGCAAGGTAGGTAAAAATCACTTGTGCCCTTAATATAGATGTTAGTGTTCAGCACCACACGTCCCACCTGCCGCCATCTTCATTGAGCCCAATGGCTATCAGGGCCTCCAGGTCAGTTCCCTTCAGCCCGTACTGCAGCAGCTCTTTGGCAGCATCTACGTTTTCTGGGACACGTTCCACACACTCATGCAAAACCCAGGAGCGCTTCCGGATTTTGCTCTAGGAGAGTTTAGAGGAATAAAATATGAAGGATTGAGTTCACAAGAAATTAAGTGATACAGTGACACACAGAGATAGAAATGAAAAGAAAAAAATATTTGAAAATTTTGAGAGAAAAAAAAGCTGGTTTAAACAGGTAATGTTTTTTTACACTATTTTAAACAGCTAAACATGACATAACCAATACAGTTTCTGTATAATTTTCCTTTGATTCTAACCAGATAATCTTGAATGGAGGCGATGCTGACTGGGCTCTTCCTCCATTGCCGCTGGTAGACCAGATCAGAGTCCAGGTTATATATCTGAGCGAGTGACAAGGCTTCTCCATATTCCTCATTGTCAATCTGTGAGGGAAGGAAAAACCAACAAAATCAGCATCCCTGCCTTTCATTTGATCCGTGAATCAGACAAATACTGGGAAGGAGAGGGAATAGGAACTTACACCTTTAAAGAAATTCAGTGAAGTGTTTTTCAATAAAAAAAAGAAAAACTACTTTAATACAAACTGTACATTTTTGGTATCATTTGATTAAAAGGTAAAGAAAATGATGGTGTACTAAGAGAAAAATAAAAGTCAAATCAAAGTTAAAGGTAAAAGCTACAAAGTAAGAGTAAACTGTGCTGTTTGAATGCAACTAACACATTTTTTGCTATCTTTTGCTATTTTCTATATTTTTCTAAATCAACCAATTAATCATCAGATAGTAGAAGCTTCAAAGGATTTATTTTTTTTACAGAATTTGAAGCAAAAGAAACTAAAACTCAAGGAGTTATATTTCTACTATATTCAGACAAAGGTTATATTTCCTAAATAAAAAAAATTTATACTTTTGTATGGTTTGACTTAATAACTGCTCGGAAAGGATATTATAGTATGTAAACCACATTTACAAACTACTGGATTAGAAACCAGCTGACAATTAATTGAACCTTCCATCAATCACGATTAATGCAGTTAATTGCTTCATGCAAATTAGAATTTAAGAAAAATTAATAAACATAGAGAAATCTTTTAACATTTAATAATTTCCTCAATAGAAAATAACTGACTCAGATTTACTGCATGATGCTCTCAAGAAGAAATAAATATGTTATTCAAACTAAATAAAATTTTATTTTGCAAAAGAAAAATAAATTAGCAATGTCATTAATGCTTTAATCTTTTTTAAACACTTTTCTTGCTCATTGTAGCTTTTCTGTAACCAACATTTTCTCTCAGACCTTGCTCTGCCATTAATAGCTCCATTTTTTATAATAACAGGGACTAAACTTGGCAATCAGCAGTGTGTCCCTGACCAGGAACACTTTAAACATTCATAATTTAAAATTACTATATAATGTGTTAATGCTGAAATGTGCAGCAGACGAGGAGATGGTCCCATGTGAAAACAGCAAGTTGTTGCCAAGAGACAATCTGAAATGTTTTCGGAAAGAATCAGGAGCAAAATGTTGGGTACAAAAAGAAAACAAAGCATGAGAACCTCCAGGAACAATAAATCCAGCCCTGCGGTTCACACAAGAGGCCACTTTTTACTTAGCAGGAGCATTGACTTGCAAATGGATACATTTCATAGAAACAGAAAACCTTGAAAATATTACATACAAATCAAAAGCAGCTTGTCTGTTATTTCCTAAAGCAGACAAAACACTTTCATGACACACAAAAGAGCATTTGGAGTCACAACTTTATAAAACACACACAGCATTACCATATTAAAGGCGATGAAGTATCTTATGAAACAGCATAGCAGCAATTTGGTTTATACACATAAAAATTTCTTCACACACACAAAAAAAGACATTTTAAATAGAAAAACAGGCAAAGTAAATTTAAAGTTACTTATATGAAACATAGAAACCAATGAAAGCCTATGTGCTTTCCCTAGAAATTTGGCTCCACAGGAAAAGCCTTTAAAGGATGCAAATCGATGAAGATGACAGATTCCACAACAACAAGAAACGGGACTTTCTGTTCAAAGCACTTCTTGACCATTGATTATGACAACTGACTCAGCGCAAGAACGAAATTATAGAGATTTTAAAACAAAAAGCTGAAGGAGGTAGAGGAGATTATCTATTTAAGCATCCAGGGTCTCCGGTTTAACTATTTTTTACTTTCTGTGTTCTCTTTCAGGACAAAGCATCTGCTGTAGTCTGCAGACTTCATCCCCAACCACTTCTCCTTCAGGTATTAAGATAAACAGCTTTTCTTAGGGAAGGGGAGATAAATCTAGTAAATTTTTCATGTCTTATAAATCCAACAAGAAGTAAGTTAGTTTACTCTTAATAGATGAAGAGTAATCATGTTTATTTATCTATTATTTCAACATTCAAAACCAAACGGCATCACCTTTTGAAGGCACGTCCAGTGAGGAAGATACTCATAACTTTATAATGCCAGTATGTAATGCATTTATACTTTTGTTAAAATATTTTTTTTGAGTTTCAACATTAGAATCAAACGATGTATCTTCACAGTTAATGGGGTTAGCAGACTGTTTATTAATGTAATTACGCTACAACAAAAGTGGCAGTAGAGGCTATCTAAGTTAGCAGATTATGGTTAAAAGTAAATTTAATATGGATGCTCTGGTGGTGGCATTTCATTGTGAGGGAGGGGCTAAAGGCTGATTTATACTCAGAAACCAGGTCGTCTGCTTGAGTGTCACAGTGAACACAAATGTCCCTCCGCTCCCTCCGCAGACGCACTGCTGTACTTCTCCAAAGTTGCAGACAGGAGGCCTCTGATTGGTCAAATCTACATCCGCTCTATACTCTGCGTATTTCCTGTCTGGTACCTTACCGGCTTGTTTTGTTTGACCAGGTAGAAGAGCGAGGTAGGTGACAACGCTGGGACCCTTTTCCACCTGGATCCCCGCTCTTTTTCGCCCTCATGTCCTTCCGTTGTCGTACAAACTTGCCCCCACTTCTTCACCGCCTCGGCCATATCTAGACCCACAGCTAGTTCGTGATTGTCCCTCTTGCATTGCGGCATGGAATAACATAGCGCAGACCATACTTCAAAATCGGGCAGAAATCAAAAATATCTGCGACAAGCTTCCGGTGACACACTGCTGTGGGGAGTATAACCAGCCCTTAAGCCCTAATTGGCAGCCATTCACATGGCCGTACATACAGCATTGGTTTCCTATGTTTGCTGTGCTTTATGCAACATCTTCATCACTCTTAAGCAACTCTTTTATGTTCTTGGTTGCATTTCTTTAATACTTTTTCATAAAACATTGTTTTTTTATTCTGATAATAGAAACAACCTACAATCTCTAACACATTTAAAAAGAGTTTAATTATGATTTATGCCTAATTGTATCTAACCAGTATGCCTCCGAATGCCTGTTAAGGGACTACTGTAAATCCTCTAATATAGGATGGGGCCTTTATTTTACTCAGGTATATCTTGGTCCAGGCCATTATTGGAAGGAGGCCAAAATTGGAGCCAGGCCTCTATTTCTATTTGATCAAAGCAGACTACCAGTGGAATGAATAAAAACAAGATTTTGTGTCTCTATGAATCTATAAAATACTAGGTTCATTTATCAAAAAAGTGCAGTTACCATAACGGTATACAGAACATTATTCAGACATATTCCAGCAGCTGCAATTTTTCTGCACGGCAATAAGAAAAACATAAATAAATAAACAGAATGGAATCTTGGCCAAACTGACTTGCGAAACAAAGTAAATAAAAATAATAATGGAAACTATTCTGCCATCACAGCGAAATTTTATTTGAGGCAGGCTAAGTGGAAGTAGGCTACCAGTATTATAGCCTGGGTGCCAGTCAGAACTTAGTCCCGCCCACAAGGTTTGAGTTCGGGGAAGTTCGGTCTGGCTCTGCTCCATAGTAGCGCGAGTATTAAAGCCCACTGTCAGGCGATCCAATCAAATTGTCAGGGCGGCCTTTATACGATGATGGACAGATGATCAAGAGTAACGTTATCAACCACGTGACCAAAGCGCGCTTGGGTGACAACAATAATGGCTGCCGCTGGAGAGTTTGGGTGAGTAGATTCTGCTATTAGGTCTGTTCTAGAAGATATCGACAGCAAATTAATTTTAAAAGAGGAACACAGAAACGCGATCAAGGCTCATCTTCTTATTCTAGGCGTGAAACTGCACGCTTTGATTTCTGTGGACAACAACTATGCCTCGCTTAAGATACGTCACGCACTCCGTTGCTCTTATTGGTTGTAGGTCTATCCAATTTGAGTGCAGAGGCATTTTTTTCCTGGTTCGTTCAAAACACGCCCCATAATCACAGCTCTATGGAGCAGTATCAGACTCATATTCTGACTAGAATTGAGTCGGACTACGTCAGGCTACCAGTATTATATATTTCAAGGGAAATTCAGAACAACAAAGGCCAACGAAATTCTGTTGTTTTAACGCTGCCTGGTTACCACCAGACCTACCGGTGATCACATTTATCTTTCAGATCAGAACGATTGTGTGGCTGGTTATACTCCTACTGCAGTGTGTCGCAGTGAGCTTGACGCAGACATTTTTTATTTATGCTCAATATTGAAGCGTGATCTGCGCTATACGCTGTGGGTCTAGAAATGGCCGAGGCGATGACGAAGTGGGGGCGAGTTTAGTCTGATAACGGAGGGGCATGACGGCGAAAAAGAGCGAGGATCCAAGTGGAAAGAGGCTCCCAGTGTTCTCGCACACCTTGCTCTCTTAGCGGGTCAAACTTCCCGACTTGTTTTCCACAATTTCGGTCATAAAAACAAAACAAGCCGGCCTCCTGTCTGCGGCACTGTCTGCGCTAAGGATGGGACTTCCCATGCTAATGGCTTGGATTCGTTAGCAAACATTCCCCCCCTGTGGTACTTGTTACTATCACAAGTTGTTGAGGACTGCCCAGAAACATTGTTGGTTCTAATTATAGCCGTGGCCTGTATACGAGTCCGGCCAGTATTTACCTCCGCCGACAACCATTATCAGAGACCCGGCTGCTAATGGAATACAGGCCAATATTAGAGGATTTACGGTAATATCTTTTGACAGCCCTGTTTCTATTGCTCTAACATGTAAAGTTTTCCTTTCTTCTATATTTTACATTGGGCTCCATGAGATTGGATGTAATGTCTTTGTTTCTGCTGTCAGTATTCAAACTGATCTGGGCCACCGTTGAGGATTCATGTCAAACCAATGCTGAACATGATTTAATCCAACAACAAAATGAATGACACCGCATTTAATGCAAGCCCACTCGGTGTGTGCCTCAGTAACCCGCCGAGCAAACTGGTCGACAGACACACAGAGGATTCCTCTCTCAGTGTGTAGGAGTTGAAAAGCAGCACATTAGCCAGACTGTGGATCC